GACCCAGCAGTTCGCGCTCTCCAACTCGGCAGCCATCCGGGCCGAGATCCAACGCTTCGAATCCGTGCATCCCAATATCTACGCCATCTACGACCTGATCGAGCGCATCGAGGACTTGGCGCTGCAGAACCAGATCCGGGAGCACGTCATCTCCATCGAGGGTGAGCGGAGCCGGGGTCTGCGGGAGCTGGGGCGCGGTGGCCCGGCTCGGCCACGCTCTCCCCGTCTGGGGTCGTCGCGCGCCTGAGGTCCTGGCCACGCGGTTTTGCTGATCGCCAGCGCTGCAGAGCGGTCGTCCAAGCTTCGCTGTATCTCGTCCGGGGACACTGGGGCTCGGGGCCGGTCCCGTGCCAGGGGACACGTTTTCCGTTCTTAGTACCCCAGGGCGTGAGGGTGGTGTCGCCCCGGGGACAGGTGCGCTCAGAGCCGCAGAGGTGCGGGAGGCTGGGGCCGGAGCTGGCCAGGCATGCCTTGGGAGGGTGGGCGCCGCGGAGGGCCTCGGCGGGCCGGGAGGTGGGGCTGCTGCCCCGGCCCGGCCCTGCCCCGCGGCGGGGCGGGGGAATCGAGCCTCCCGTTAGTGGATGGCAGCCTTCCCGGGCCCAGCGCCCGCGGGCCCCGGAGGGTGGCGCTCGCCGCGGCGCCCTTTCCCGACGCACACCCCCCACGCTGCCGCTGCCAAGGCGGGCGCAGGCCGGGCCTGGCGCGGGGCTCCGGCGGCGCGACCGCGTGGGAGGCACCGGCCGGTACATCCGCGCTTTCGTCCGGTCCCCCGCGCACCCAGGAGCCTCTCGGGAGGCGGGCGCGGGACTGCGGGGCGCTGTCTGACCTCCACGGACACGGCGCTGGGCGTCAAATGCCAGAATCCCGGGCCACTGCCCTGCCTAGCGCCCTTTTCTCTAGGCTCTTGAGCCCCGGAATTTGGCTGCCACGGAGGGGGGGGGGCGCAGAGGAAGTGGGTTCACGCAGTCGGCACATATCCCACGACCCCTGATGTGTCGGGGGGGGCACCACACCCACAGATTCCCTGGTGGCACCGTGACCTTTGAGCATCCAAGGGGCAGATGGGCCTCGCCCTGGGTCATCTCCTTCCTCTCTGGCTCCTTTGGAAGGGGGACGCCCAGCAAGCAGGTGGTGGGTTCAGCTTTAGCGGAAATGCAGGGTCGGTTGCGAGGTGTTTTGGCGATGACATGGGAGTTGTGGGCAACGGCCTGTCCACTTCTTGGGCCTGGCAGTTAGGGCCACACTCCCACCTTCCCCTCCTTGTGTAAGGCTCCAGGGCTCCTGTGCCTGAACACTATTCCCTTCCTGCTTTTGGACGTCCCCACAGCTGAGGAAGGAGCATTCAGTGTTTTGGGAGCCGCAGACCCCATTTAGACCCAGAGTCCTGCCTTCTTCTTGTCACACTCCAAGCTGACTTCCTTCTGTCCTTTCCCCAATCCTCTGTTACCTCTTTCCTCTCAAGGCTGAGTTCACAGTGAACTAATTAGGCGACGGGGAAAAACTCATTAACATGGATCCAAGTAAATGGCCTGAATCACCGTTGTGGCTGGGGACCAGGAGATGGCATTTGTGTGAGCCCAGGGCCCCAAAGAGAGGAGATGACCAATTTTTCCTCCTCGATCTGAAACGGGTGGGGCAGGGAGAGTCGCCATTCCCCAGAGCGACACTGTCCCTCTGGGGAAGTAGAAGTTCAGGAACGGCTCTCAGATACCCCCCCTCCCCCCAGCTCCTTTTGTCGAAGAGACTTGATGGACTAGCCCGAGGTAGGGGCTGAGGGAGAACGCCTCCCTCAGAGCGCTTCCCAGAGCAGGGAGAGGCAGAATCAGCTGGGTTCCCATCCAGCTCCAACTTCCTTAGCAGTGGCTTGTGACCACCCCCGCCCCCGCCCCCCCCAGCCAGGACTCAGGAGGCCTCCAGCTGGGCATCTTCTGTGCCACGAGGATCATGATTCCCAGGACGTGCTCAGTTTTCGCCCCTGTCTTAAATTCAACGCGCTGGGCGGAATTTCTCTTCGTAGAGCCCTCCCCCGTGACCAACTTCCCCATTGCGGTTTGGAAGTACCCCATGTTCTGTCTGCTTAGCCTGGAAGCTTGGTATCGTGAATCCCGGGACCCGATGTCTCATTGTCACCAGGCCCAGCTGTTCCGCACACTGCATTCGCAGCTCTCCTGATCCCCGCTTCCCTGCTCTCCCTTGGCGGGGCCTTACACCTCTCCTCCCGCTCCCCTGTTTTGTCCAGCCTCTCTCCTGGGACCCATCTTTATCACCCACCTCACCCCTGCTTCCCCACTTTTGTCACATAGATTTTCTGCTCTGGGCAGGCAGGGAAAAACAAAAAACAAAAAACAAACCCAAACAAAAAAACAAATACCCCCCCCCCAAAAGGAAGCCAAAAAAAAAAAAAAAAAAAAAAACCCCAGAAAACTCCTTCTCCAATTTCTGCCCTGTATCCTTTCTTGCTGTAGAGCCTCCATCTGCCCAACCATATTGCTGCTGCCTTGTAAAGCAGTGTCCCCACCTTCTTGCTTGGGGGAGGGAGGAGAGCAGCTTCTTGGGGCGTTTCCCGGCTCCCTGTGAGCCTGGCCGAGCCCCCCTGCCAGGGCCCAGCATCAAACCTGGGTCCAGGCGATATTGTTGATATTGTTACGTAACACATCCGTAGCCGGGAGGCCGGTCTGTGTTTACTAGGGCTGAGCCTCTTAGTGGGAAGGGATGACATTTTCCTAGTGTATAATAAGCTTCCGCCTCACTCTGGTAATACTTCGGTGAAGGATTTATTTGTTCCAGCTCTGAAGGTGACCCAGGAGACGCAGTCGGAATCCATTTGGGACTGAGGGAGCACCATGGCACCTTGCCCTCCTGTCTTCTGCCTGCTTCACTCAGTCACCTCAGACCCCGCAGCCAGGGTAGGAGGAAGGAAGCAGAGGAACATTCCGCTTTCCTGTCTCAGGACAGGATTTGAGGGGAAGCAGGCTGTTTTTGAAAAGTTCCTTTCCCACCAAAGGCCAAGGAAGGAGAAAAGGGGTCCATCCGGCTGTTTTAAGGCATGAAAGCAGTGTACCCGGCAGGTGGGGGTGGTGGGATGGCAGGCTCACCGTGTGCAGAGCCTCTGAGCCAGGCTCTTCTCCCTGGTGGGGAAACCGAGGCTCGGAGAAAGGAGGGATCCACGCTGATCAGTCAGGGCTCGTGTGGGGCCTCAGGCAGGAGCTCTCGGGACTTGCTCGGTCTCCTGGCTGTGCCCTAGAAAGAGGGCCGCAGAGGAACTGGCTCAGTCCAGATAGGGGACAGCCTGGGCACATGGAACGTGCAGATGCTGGGCCAAGTAAGCCAGGAGCCAGGATGAGTTCCTGCAAGAAGCCGCCTGGGGTCCCAGCAAGTGGCCAGGAAAGGCAGGCTTGTCTCTGAGGAGATGTGAATCCCGGGAGGTCTGCCCCAGGGGAGTGCAAGCAGGGGTGGGCCCTGTGGGCCCACAGGGAGGACCAGGAAGCCGGCCTTGGCCACAAGTATGCCATGTGGCTCCTACTTGGGGAGGAACCGGACTTTGTCAACTGGGCGACTTGTCGCCCCCTTTGTTTTCCTCCAAAATAAAAAAAAAATGTTGCTTTTAGTATTTATTTATTTTTGAGAGAGAGAGAGAGACAGAGTATGAGTGGGGGAGGGACAGAGAAAGGGAGACACAGAGTCCAAAGCAGGCTCCAGGCTCTGAGCTGTTAGCACACAACCCGCTGCGGGGCTTGAACTCAGGAACTGTGAGATCGTGACCTGAGGGGAAGTCAGAGGCCCAACCGACTGAGCCACCCAGGCGCCCTGTTCTCCAGCATTTTTTTTTTAAAACGATGAAGTGCCTTTGAGCATTCCCAAAGTGGGCTGATTCGTTCTCCCTTCCACCTCGCTCTTGAGGGTGAACTCAGGATCTGCAGGCCTGCCACCATGGGCGCGGGCTGGGGAGTGTTCGGGACTGGGGTAAGGAGGTACAGGTGCTCCCGTTGCGTTTGAGCCTAGGCTGGAGAGGGAAGGGGGCCCTGAGCTGAAGGCAGAGGTGTTGGGGAGGGCTCAGAAGGAGCTCACGGGCCTGCCTGGGGGCTTGAGTCCGCCCTGCTTTCTCTGTGTCCTGTGACCAGGTCCCGACAGCAGCCCCATCGTGCGGTGAGGCAGGTGGAGGGCAATCATAGCCATCTTGGAGACCGGGAAACTCTCCCGGCTGTTCCCCAGCCTGGCAGTAACATTCACTTGGGGGACTTGCTGAAGTGCACGTTTCTGAGGCTTCCTGCAAGGGATCTGATTCAGTGGGTTTGAGATGGGGGCCCAGGGATCTGGGTCTGTCACTTACCCTGGAGTTCCGGTAATTAGCTGGTTTCGGGAATGAGTGCCTGGTGGTGGCCTGGAGGCTTAGGTAGGACTTTGCACAGATGAGTTCTAGGAATTCTGAAAAAGAGGATATCTGGGTGGGTGCTAGTGGCCTGGGAAAGCTGCGTTTGTTCCAGATACATTTATTTAGCTCCTACCGTGTGGCCCAGTTGCATGTAGCACAGTGGAAGGCAGGGGGGGAGCCCCAGCAGCATGCTGGACTGACTGAGGTTGAATGGATCCGCCTGCAGATGCCAAAGCAGGGGTTGGGAGGGGTGGGAATAAAGCCAAGATTTGAACACAACCAGGGCAAAGGTTAGAGCCTGGGGAAGACTTATCAAGACCCCTTTCTTCAAGGTCACAGGAGAGGGATGGAAAGACTACCTCCTCCAGGCTGCAGGGTGGCCCCCCTCCCCCCACTCCCCCATTCAGTCCTCTGTCCCTGAACTTCTGTTCTCTGCCAAGTGGACGACACCCTCCGAATAAGACACTTCTTACTCCTAAGTACCCTGGGGCTAGCTCATGCTACATACTTTTCTCTACCTTTTTTTTTTTTTTAACTTTTTTGTTTTGAGGTTTACTTATTTTTGAGAGAGAGAGAGAAAGCAGGAGAGAGGGAGAGAGAGAGAATCCCAAGCAGGCTCTGCACTGTCAGCAAGGAGCCCGATGGCGGGCTCTAACTCAGGAACCATGAGATCATGACCAGAGCCGAAACCAGGAGTCGGATGCTTAACTGACTGAGGCACCCAGACGCCCCTCCTCTGCCATTTCTTTCTTTCATGGAACCTGTATGCCAGGCATGGGGCTCCAGGAG